TTTGGGTTAAAAGGAGAGGAACCATCCAGCCTGCGATCTGGACACTATTCAAAGCAATGACATGGCTACACACATGTGAAACTTGCATCTCTGTGAAGACCTCATTTATGTTGAACTAAGGCTGTCAGACACCAGATTTTTACTCTGTTATTATCAGTGCTAAAAACCAGAATTACAGATTAAGAAGCATTAGTCAAATTCATCTCTAACTCGTGGTTTTTTTGGGGGGGGCAAATGAATCACAATCAAAAAACAAGCGTTGGAAAGTGGAGAATCTCTAAGTAACTATACAAAACCACATAAAAATATTTAGTTTTTTAAATATCATGGTTATCATCAGTAAAAGAATACTGAAACATCCCTTATATGGACCAATATAATTTTTGGTTTTGGAGCAACCCATTGCTTTTCAGGAAGGCCTCGCTTATTTCAGAATGAAAAGGCCAAACCACATTCTTCAGGTATGTCAGCGGCACGGTGCAGCACTGTGGTTGCTTATCTGGCATGCTAAGAGTCCTAGGCTGTCACTAATAGAATCACCTGACACGTTATCAAACATAAAATATGGCAAAGGTGACTCCGTCTTGCTCAAGTAAAGTAAAATGCTTTATCAAGCAACAAAATTATTTGCCCTCCACGTCAGTTCCCAAACACAGGTAGTGTTGAAAGACAAGCTGATTAACCACAGTTACATTAACATACATTAACATACAGTTAACATTGCTCAGTTCTAATGTGGTACTGAATTCAAAATCGTTTAAGCGTTTAGTTTCGCAAAAACAAAAACTATCACAGGCTGAATACAGGCTTTAAAAATTGTTAAGAAGTTAATTAACATTTTAAAAATCCCTTTTTTTTGATGGAGCATTGCATTCAAGGGGATAAGTTGTCTAATCCTGCAGTCACATTAGAGAAAACAGTAGTTGAAGACCACAAAACAACCAAAATAATTGCAAACATGGTTTGCAATGAATTTCAACCTTAGTACCTAAGTACAGAAATTCATGTTAACCAGAATTTTGCAGTAACTACTTAACATTAAGAGTCCAACCAGAACCTAATGGAAATTCCTCCTCAAATAGTGACGCAGTTGCTGCAGGATTAACTGCAAAATGACAAAGGC